CAGTTCCCTCAGCCACAAGGGAACTCAGCACACTTGTGCTCCAGACCCTTCCCCAGCTCCGTTCCCTTCTCTGGACACGCTCCAGCACCTCCATGTCCTTCTTGGAGTGAAGGGACCAACACTGAACCCAGCACTCCAGCTGCGGCCTCACCAGTGCCCAGTACAGGGGGAAGAGAACTTCCCTGATCCTGCTGCCCACACTGTTCCTGACACAGGCCAGGGTGCTGTTTGCCTTCTTGGTCACCTGGGCACTCTGCTGACTCATGGCCAGCTGGCTGTCAACCAGGTGAAATCACATCTTTGCTGCAGAGACCATCCTGTGGCCCAGCCCTGCTGCTCCAGCCTAGAGTGGCAATAGGTGACACGGGAGGAAAAGCAACCCACGCTTGTGAAGGACACAGTGTGTCGAGGTGGCAAAGCAGCAGCTCCTCATCAAGCAAGCAGCAGGTTATGTGCCCTGTGGTCTGGGAGAGCCTGGCTCCAGAAGGGCACCTTGCAACGTGCTTTAAATGCTACCAGGGCAACCTTATCCGGGACGAACAGGATTTATTTTCAACCAAGAAACTACTGCAGTAACGTTTCCAAGTAAATAATATTGGTTTAAACAACACTGCCCTTGTCTGGGGACTTGTTCCACATCCCTGCGTCCACCCAAACCATCAGCATCATCTCTCTTGCAGCCACAGTGCCAACAGGATGGACCCAGAGCAGCCCAACCCACAACCACAAACACAGCTGCCGTCACAGTGGTTGTTTCCACTGGCTGGAGCAGCCTCACAGAGGGTGAAATCACAGCCTCTGGGTAAACACTGCTGCCGTGCCGCGCCACCGGGCCAGAGAACAAGGCTGCTACCATGTGCGGTGGTGTGGGAGGGATGGGGAATAGATGGGAGAACTGTAGGTGCTCAGGTAGTGCTGATTCAGGTGGGAGGCTGTAAATGATGCCCTCCCTCCTCCTGCAAAGAGAGTTTTCCTGCTTCCTGGATGCTCAGCGTGGAAAGAGGGAGTTAGGGTGTGAGCGCACCGCTGCTTTGCTTAGGATGACAAAAGCAGGTGGAGGAGAGAAGAGGGTTTGCCCAAGCCTGGGGCTGGTTCAAACAGCCTCTAGTGTTTTGTGGGAAGAGACAGAGCTCAAGAGTCTGGCACCAGGAGAATCTTAAGATTCAAAAGTTCAAAGAGCTTTGCAGTAGCTTCAAGGGCTGTACTCACAGGATCTCCAAGCCGCAGCAACAGCTGTTGGAGGATCAACAGGTCCCGACAGATCAGGAAACGGATGGTGGCAATCTTACACACCCCACAGCAAACCACGCTGACAGCCGTGCCGCTGCCGTACAGCTGGGTGAGGTTCAGGCGCATATTTAGATGATGAGCTGAAAGAGAAAATCACCTTCATCATCAGGAGAGGAACGAGACCGACGAGAACACTCGCTGAGCAGCTTCTCTCCTAGCCCAAACGCCCTGCTGCAGAGCTTTCACCTCTTTCCATGTCAGCATCTGTCTCGTAGTCCATCTCTCGGATGAGCACCCCGATGGCATGGATGGGGTTTCTGATCTCCTGCAGTTTGCTGTTTATATCCTCCATCACATTTTCCCTGCAAAGTAAAAAGAAGATAATAATCATCATCATCATCATCACCATCATCAGTAGCAACCTGAGGTTTAAACTCCAGAGGGCTCCCTTTCCTCCCTACAGATCCTCCCTGGAAGTGTATCTGATCAGCCTGGACATTCTTGATGGGAATCTTCCTCTGGCTTGGAGTTTTATTACAGCGCCTGCAGGGATCAATCTATTTATTCCACTTCCTCAGGCTACCAGGAAATAACAGTGAGATAGCTGGCATTCCACAGGGGAATGATTTCAGGAGGTGAGCACTGTAACCACATGGCTTCACCAAGGCTCTGACCTCTACCTAATGTCTGCAGGCACTTGCTTTCCACACTGCAACCATCACCTAATAGGAACTTGTTCCTCTTCTGCTCTCTCTCTCACCTGAGAAGCACAGAATCATGGAATGGTTTGGGTGGGAAGGGACCTTAAAGCTCATCCAGTCCCAACCCCCCTGCCAGCAGCAGGGACACCTTCCACTAGACCAGGTTGCTCAGAGCCTCATCCAACCTGGCCTTCAACACTTCCAGGGAGGAGCAGCCACAGCTTCTCTGGGCAACCTGGGCCAGTGTCAAGAATGTTTTCCTCATATCTAATCCAAATCTACTCTTGTCCAGTTTGTAACCATCACCCCTTGTTCTGTCACTCCCTGCTCTTCTCAAAAGTTCCTCCTCAGCCTTCCTGGAGCCCTTTCAGGTACTGGAATCCCCCAAATGTCTTTTCAGAAGGGACCACAGGCAACAGCAAGGGGGTTCTGGATGGAAAACCCTGCTAACATCACCAATACCCACACTCCCCATCTCTGAGGGGACCTGGAAAAGTTTCCTGCAGCACAGGGAGAGCCTGCACATCTTAAAAACCACTTTGGTGTTAATGAAGAAAGGCTCCAGGCAATCCCTGCTCAGCCATCCGCCTCTCCCTGCAGAAGCTTCTGCAAAAACATCTCCTTACGTGTCATTAGCTATCAAGTCCTCCAGGATCTGCTCTGCAGCCTTTTCTGGAGGCTGGAGGCGGGAGCAAGCCATTTCCATGATGAATGCCATTTCCATGGAAATTGATTCTCCGATCAGTCGAAGGCACTGGACAAGACAGACAACATCACGAGACATCTCCAAATCTGTAATGAAAGAACCTAACTGTATATTTACAAGTCATTTCAAAGCCAAGGTGGGAGGACCATTCAAAAACCAGTTAGTTCAGCTCCTATCAGCAAAAAAAAAACCAACCTAGCAGCAGATTAGTCTTAAGTCTCAGTCCCACATGTCAAACTGACCCTTCCCTGGTAACTCCGAAGCTGAAGTAAAACTTAGGAGTTGACAAGGGAAACATTTGAGCTTTATTATTTGGAAAGCAAAAAAAAAAAGAAAAAAAGGAAAAAAAAAAAAGGACTAATGCAACAACAAAACAATGAAATTCCCTCCAAGGGATTTTCTCCAGACACAAGTTGAAAGGAAGCAATTAGTGCAGTGTAAGAGCAAAAAAACCCCAGAGCAAAGGGCTCAGAGAGCTTAGCTCTGCCAAGCAGAACACACTCTCTCACAGCAGCCATCCACCTCCCAGCAGAGAGGGAGAGAGGATTTTCAGATCAGAAAATTCAGCTCTGAGGGTTTCAATCACTGCTTTGCCACACAATCCTTTACCTGGGTGTTTTTAAAATCAAGGCACATATTTTGAGGAGTTTAAAACAGACAGGGTAGGAACTGTTAGCCTCCCCAACCCAACCCAACCCAGCCCAGGCCTCCAGCTTTCCTTCCCCCAGAGCCAGAAATAGCTCAACCAAACGGCTGACAATTCTTCTGGATAAAAATATATAAAAATCACTCGAGCATGAAAGTGGAGCTTAGGTAACATTTTCCGTTGCCTTTTTCTCGTGAAACGTCATTCCAGGGCCAGCAGAGCATAGAGGGCACTGTGGTGACAATATTAATGACAACTTGTGCACAGGCTGGCATTGACTTCCCGGAGATGAGAAATGGCACAGTCAGTCCCTCTCCACAGTGTACACAAAAACATTTATACTAAAACATTTCACTAAAAAAAGAAGTTTAGAGAAGTGGGCAGTTGAGTCCAGGGTGCTCAGAGGGTCACTAGTTTCCCTTTTTTCCTGTAGTTTCAGGAGGGAGTTGTTCACTCCATCAGCAAGACACAGAGATTGGGGAATTTTATGAAAAAGAACTGCTTGCAACGAGTCAGAGGAGTTCCTGCAGCTCTCAGTGGGGATGGCAAAGCTGAGAGAACATCAAGCAGGGTTCATACAGGGCTTCACCCACATGATCAGAACCATGAGCTGCTCCATCTTGCTCTCCCCACCAGCACTGGGGACCTGGCAGCACACTGTGGAGCTCCAACCTGGGAAACCTGTCCCACAGATCTGGGCACAAAGGTGGCACCAGCAAACTGCAGCCTACACAGGTAGTTTGTAGACTCCCGGGCAAAGGAGCCACCAGTGCAGGTCCCTGTCACTGAGCAACACAGCCTGAAATCCAGGATTCTTCCTTCTTAAGTTATGTGAAATAAGTCCTGGCAGATTTGCAGCCTTGACACCATTTTTCTAATTCCTGGTCTGAGCAGGATGGCTGGTTTCACAAAATACAGCTCTCTGCAAATGCCCAAATAAGAAAACTAGCTCCATATAGAGAACTATGGAGTGAGGAGCACTTCAAGAGGCTTCTACAGAAAGTCCCCACACCCCACCAGCTAGGGCTTCCCTGATATGCAGCATTTCAACCTCCAACAACGACCAAGCTCCATGTCTCCTCACTTACCATCAAAGATGGCAGCGTCATCCTCAGTCAGGAGGTGTTCATTAGAGAGGAGATAGAGATGGTCCACCAAGGAGCAGGGCATGAGGAAAGACAGGGAGCCCTGGAAAGATGAGGAGAAAGTCTTTCTTTGAGCTTCCCAAATTCACTTCCAGCTCCCCAAATCCACACCTCAGTCAGAAGAACTCCTCCCAACAGATCAATGCTTCAGTTGGCCATAGCTCAGCCTCACCTTCTTCAGCAGGCACACCATGCTGGTGTAGGGATTCAAGTGCAGGGCCAGGGGTCGTGAGAGCGCTTCTTGGTACTGGAGGCAACAGGCATAGAACTTGGACCAGAACTCCACCTGGAGCTGCCAAAACTCCTCCGGCGAGCACTCGTACTCTGTCACGCTGCCCTGGAACTGACAGGACCCAAAACAAGACCTCAGATGAATGCAGGCAGTGAACCAGGGAGGAAAACTGTAGCGTTCAGAGCACTATCTTGTCTCTCATGACCAGTGTCACACCTTTACGTGGTTGTGGTTTATAAACATCAGTTGTAGTATCTTCCCCACCACCTTAATCATAGAATCATAGAATCCCAGACTGGTTTGGGTTGGAAGGGACCTTAAAACTCATCTAGTTCCAACCTCCCTGCCAGCAGCAGGGACACCTTCCACTAGACCAGGTTGCTCAAAGCCTCATCCAGAGGTTTTTTCCTACAGCAGTGAAGCACACAGCAAAGCAAGCCCACAAGAACCATTTCTACACAACCTTAGATAAAGAAGCACCAAAAACATCAAGAAAAAGGGCAGCACTGCAGATCTCTAAAAACATCATGCATGAAGATTGCTACAGAGGACACAAAACCACCTTTTTTGTGAGCTTTTTAGCGAAGTCTAAGTAGCCTCAAAGATGAGCCGCAGGTGGAAGGACTGCTGGTTTAGAGAATCAAGCATATCAGAGTAAAATCTGGAGAAGCAGGATAAAGTGGGGGGAATTCAGACCCAAAAGGACAGCCAGTTGATCAATCAGATAGGTCCTCCAAGCAAATTATCTTCTGGTGTCCAAAATTATGAGCAACAGCTCTGCTCAGCACACAACGTGCAATCAGCAAAGCACGCTCCATGCAAAGTGGATCCAGGGAGTAGAGACAAGAGAACACCAAGAAAGGACTCCAAGAAAGAAGAGGGAATGGAAAAGCCAGGCAGGTAGGATGAAGATTTGTACTTTTTTTAAACAGTCACATAACTCCTTTGGAGAAACAAAGGATAAAACAAGGCCTGAGGTGACTTTGTATCTGACTTAACTTTGCTGAACCATCACAATACACACAACGAATTAAGAACAAGACACAGTGGGGGGTGAAAAATAAATCTCACCTCGCTTTCCACAGCTAAGGTAACCTCTTTTTTTAACTCATCCCACGTCAGATCCACGTGTCTCTCAGCTCCTTGAGAAAAAATCTGAAAAGCAGCACAATAAACTTTTACTTTGAAGCAAGACAGCTGCGTCCCCGAGGCTCAAGCAGCATTGAGTGATGTAAAACAAACATGAGAGCATCATTTGCGGGACAGAAGTGTTATAAACCATGTCTGGCTGGTAAATGTGGGATACACGGATGCTCAGCTGGCTTCCCTCTTCCTGTGGAAATGGAGGAAGCCTCCTGTGCACTGGGATGTAAGGAAAGAAACGCTGCACACCTTCAGTGCAGCTCCCTCGTACCCTGCTGTGGGTCTCCATAAGGTCACAGCACAAAGAATCAAAATGGTGAGAGCAGTGGAAATTTGGCTTTTCCACTTTTCCTAAACAGGCACCATGTGTCGCCTTGCTCTGCCCTCAACAGCCCCAGGTAATCCCAGAACTGCCTTGATTGCAAAAGACCCTTAAGATCATCGAGTCCCATCATTAACCTCCCACTGGCTAAAGGAGTCAGAGCCAAGTGGTCTCATACTCTGAGAAACAGCCACTGACTTGCTTCAGGGACCACTGTCAGGTCTACACGGTACCAAACGCAAACTGATCCCCACCAAGAGCTCCAAGGAATCCTGTTGCCTCACATCTAAAGGGCCAGGAAGGAGAAGCTGAACAGGGGGTGCAATAAATGTCCTCTGACCTACCTGCAAAGCCTTCTGGATAGCTGCATTCGTGAACCGGCCAGGCATGAAGAGATACTCCAGGTAGGTTTCCTGCAAGAGAGCAATTCAAGGAAACACACAGGTCAGAGGTAAAGCATTTCAGACGCTGCTTCTGGTCCTTCCTCCCATTCTCAAGCTTCTTCCCATTCCCTTCTCATCCCCTGGATCTGTTATTTCTTTCCAGCTTCAGTTCATCCCCACACCTGGCTCCAACCTCCCCCCTTTCCGACCCCTCAGCAGCTCCCGTGATCGAACGCCTCTTCCCACACACTCCACATCTTGTTTATTCACATGGCTTGTCTCAAGGTTCTCTCTTGACTGACTTGAAATTCTCTTCATCCCTCAACTTCTGGTTTCATAAGCAGGCTAAAGGGATTCAACGCTGTGGTAACAGAGACTAAGGTTTGTCCCCTTTAATTTGGAGTAATTTTAAGATTGTATCAATATAAATTTATCCACTTCAACTGTCCTAACGTTCTCCCAGGCACTTTAAGCTTCATGACTTCTCGTTGTTATTTTACAGGCAGCTCACCCTGGGGTCCTGGTCCTGTCGAACAGTCACTTCCTCTTCAGGCAGTGGCTGCACAAAGACCTGGTTCCACTGGCCCGCGACATTTCTGGAAGAAAAAGAAAACCAGAATCAGCTTTGCATTGCAGTGCTGCAACACAGCGTGTCCGGGAGCAGCCACCTGAACCAGACCTGTCACCTTCATCAGGCATTTTACAGCACCCACAGCCCCTTGGATCTGGCAACAGGAGCTTCTGACTAGTGACAAGTGGCAGGTTTAGGCAGGAGAGCTCAATGGCAGCAGCCCCAGCCCTGAGCTAACAGAACAGGTTGGATCCCTTCATTTATATCAATGTTCTCACCAAGTGACTTGCTCAGACTGACCACGAGATTCTTCTGCCTAAACTTGCATATTCACAGTATTTTTGCACCCAGAACTTAACTCCCTGGTCTGGTTATGCACTAAGCCTGCCCCTCTCAGCTTTATAAAGACAGGAATGATTCTTTCACATCACTGGTCTCCTCAAAATGTGATGTTTCTTAGAAGAGATCAGCTGATTATGTTTTGAAGGAGCTGTCAGTGAAGCTCAGCCCTCCCTCCGATACGCTCACAGCAGGTTCCACTCCCAGCAAGCCTGCTGCCCAGCTTTCTACATTTTTCACATTCCTGCAGCTGAGCTGCAGCTTTATTATAAAGCAGAAGAACAAAAAACCCAAATTCCATGTAATCTGACTGCAGGAAGACACAGTCGTGCGTGTGACACAAACATCACAATAGGAAGAACTGGGTCCTGCTGCATCTCCACACACTTGAGTCAGCAAAGCAGGAGAGTTGAGGAGCTCGAGTGGTGTTTTTAAGGAACAGCATTTTGGAGCTGCTCCTGCAGTTCCCCTGCCAGGCCATCAACGCTAACGATTCAGCACAGAAACTCACTGCTCAAAGTTGATGTATTTCACAACAGTTTGGTTCTCTTCGTTGTGCCACAGAGCCCAGATCTCAGTCGAGGTTAAGGCAAAGTCAACGAGAGTCTCCTAGGACAGAGAACACATATTTACCTTCTTGTCACAAACTGAAGTACAGCAGAGAGACCTGTGCACTTAACAACAGCAACACGTTCCCTCCTATCATTTAACCTGGGTTTGGAAACAGTTCTTGATTCGCAGTTAAATCCCCAAGTCCAGCTCTCTGAACTCTCACTCAGCCACCCTCCCTCTTATCTCTGTGCTGCCTGGGGAAGCTGGACCCCAGCACTCGCTCACCTGCGAGGAGAAGAGGGAGGATATGTGGTCAAGGCTGTAGCGGTTGCCCTCGGCGCTCACCAGCTGGAAGACACAGAACTACAAAACACACCTCATAAGTCATTTCACAGAATCAGAGAATCGTAGGGGTTGGAAGGGATCTCTGGACATCATCTAGTCCAACCCCCCCTGAGTCTAGAGGAGGTCACACGGATGATGCGAGGGCTGGAGCAGCTCTGCTGTAAGGACAGGCTGAGAGAGTTGGGGCTGTTCAGCCTGGAGAAGAGAAGGCTCCAGGGAGACCTTCTAGTGGCCTCCCAGTACCTCCCAGTACCTGAAGGGGCTCCAGGAAGGTGGGGAGGGACTTTGG